TCACTGGCATGACTTTGCTGACTGGATGAAAGATCATGATCCTATGAAAGTAGACAAGTAAGATACGTATTTGTACTTGAACTTTAAAAAGCATTCAGCAAACAAGGGGAATTTGTATGAAAAGTTAGAATGGCACCTCACAGCAGGGCAAAGTGACTACACAAACACAATTGCTAATTCTGCGTGATTCTTCTGTGGATCTAGGCCCTGTCTTGGTTGGGATTCGAAAAGGATCATCTGCTCTACCCATCACCCTGCTTATTGTCCCCATCTTGTTTTTCTGGGTCCTTTTCTAACTATGTTATACTGTCCATACAACCTCACAGTGTTTCACAAGCTATGAAATACCCAGCACTCTCATCCACAAGTGCTGACTCTGCCCCCAGTTCCTCAAGATAAGGAGGAAAATTCTTCTACAATTGCTGATGTTGTCTGCCAACTGTCACTTGCCCATCTCGCTTTCTGCCTTGTAGATTAAGATAGCTACAGACAATATTCTCCTGAGCAGGACTACATAAAAATTTGCAAGATTTCCCAAAGCCCAAGATACATCTGACCAACTATACTGTATCTATCACCACAGCTCAAAACTTCAGAAGATGATAGTGAGGCAGTGATACCCTTTTATTCAACTACCAGCTTGTAAGCCACAAGTATTCTTCTGACCTTCTCCAGATATCCCAGCAGTCACAGCCTAACTTCAACACCTCTAAACGATGTTTTTGACCACATAGTTGCAGAAACTGTGACAGATTTTTTTGAAAAGGCAAATGACTAACAACTATAAAAAATTCTGCTCCAAAGAGTAAGCAGATACGTGGGCACTGCCTTAAAAAATTGAGATCTCAGGACATGCTTGTACTGTCTTTTGAGTGTTTACTTTTGAGAGTCCCCTCTAGTTTAGATCCATTGCTGTTCCAGAGAAGTTGGAATCCAACACACCTATGACTTCCTTTGTACCCTTCCAAACAAGCTAAATCTGAGAGACCCTGGCCATAGGCCTAGGGCACAATCTACTCTTCATGTCACTCTCATAATGTTGGGGTACTTTTGTCAGCCTAACTAAACCTGTGATGACCACACTAATATACCTAATGTATGAAAATATAGTTATTAGTTTATGTAGTCTACATTTAAACTTTTTTTCAAACTCTGTAGGTAATGAAGAAGATTAAACTATGGAGACCTAAGAAGTCAGAAATTTTAAAAAAAATTGACTTGCCTATGTTGAAAATAATTTTCATTTTTTTCTCATTATACCTCATGTAAAACTTGTTGTTTTAAACAGTATAGATGCTGACAATGTAATTTTGAGTAATTGCTACCTCAGTATAACATTCTTGCTTGTGGGCTTGGTAGGATATTTTAGTATTAACTTATGTAACAGGAATGACATAATCAAGATAAATCTTTATCTAAATAGGTGGACTCTGTAGAGGTAGTACAGTGAAGCTTATCTATTCCTACAGTCCATAATGCAAGATGTTGTTCTACTTGCAGATATGTCTTGTCTTTAGTTGTCCTCTCCTATACAAAGTGGTTCAATTAAAAATTTGCTAATTTTGAAAACACAGGAACAGGTGACAATTCAGGTAAGTATTAAAGTACCTACACCTGTACTTTCCTAAACTAGGACCAGAGATGTTAACTCTCATTTAATAATAGAAGATACTGTTCTAGGTTGAAATGTGCTTTTAAAAGTAATCTCTGTATTAAATGATTGGGAGTGCAGACACAGAAAACAAAATCATGTGTCTCTTGTAATTTTCTTCTTAAATTGTCAAATACTGCTTCTGCAATAGAGTCCTTAGTTTACTTTTGTTTATATGTCTTAGGGAAGCTGATGTTGTCTTGAAGTATCTAAAGGAACAATGCGGTGCAAAGAAGATTGGTATCGTTGGGTTTTCCTGGGGTGGAATGGCAGTACATCACTTGATGCTGAAAAATCCTCAATTAACCGCTGGGGTGTCCCTCTATGGTAGTGTAGAACACATGAAAACTTACTCGGGTTTACGTGACTGTGCATAGTTTGTAACTGTAGTTAGTGCTTTGTTGTAGCAATTTCTGTAAATGCTCAACTCAAAGGTGAGTTGCAGATTTTAATTATGGTTATTTCAGCAACATGCTATATATGTATAAAAATTTTAATACTGGAGACAAGAAAAAAATTGCTTTCTTTTGCACAATAATTTTCTAATCTTATTTTAGTTCTTGGAGAGCAACAAGATATATTTTCCAAATGCTTTTTCTCCATCCAAATATAGACTGTCCTGATCTAAGTAATGTACCTAATGAGTAAACTTAAATAGAAACTTTTGTCTTCTAATTTGCCATTTATCTTGCAAGACTGTTAACCTCACTAACAGACTGTTTCTCAAAACGTTATAGGAATAATTAGAGATTCTGAAGAAAGATACAATTTACTAAATCCGACATTTTTCATTTTTGGTGAGAAAGACCACACCATTTCTTTGGATCAGGTAAGCTGTTGTACTGGAAATACTTACTTTTTTCCGATAGTTCATTTATCCCACATAAAAATCCTTGTTAGAAACCATTTTCAGATACAAAAATTAGAGAGTCTGGATTGTTTTGTTTATATTTCAACTTCCCATATATCTTGCTTAGGTTATTCAAAGCTTCTTTTTTGATGTGAGAAATGCAGTAAAGACCACTCATCAGACTCTGAGTGTCTAGATAAGCAAAGTGTGAAACTGGGCAGGGAGATCCAACTAGTATGAGCCAAGCATCTCAAAACCTTGGGTACTACTGCTGTGGATGAGAAATAGGTAGTTAAGCCACTCAGTTGGAGAAAAAAAGAAGTAATTTCAGCTTAGTAACTGAACTTTCTGATGATTGGGGCAAATGATTAATTGCTTTTGGCACAAGAAGAAAAATTTAACTGTATGAGAAGAGTGGGTGTGGATTTTAACTGAGATGATAACAATTTGTGGACTCTCTTTTGACTCCTGGCTGCCATCTATGTTCTGATATAACCCCTGCTGTAAGCATATCTGAGAGGCTGGATAAATATATGTGTAGGAAACTGGTGCCCTCTTCTGTGCATAAATTCTTTTTCTTCAGTGACAATGATAAAAAAAAAAAAAAAGAAAGAACATGAAATAAATTACAGTACTCTCTCCAATCTGCACAACGGGCAGAACTAAGTTTTTGAGGTAAAATAAGTGGTCATTCTCCTATTTTCTAACTTTTTAATGGAAGTAATCACAAGAATGTGTCTACAGATGTATGTGCATACGTAAACATGTGATTAGTACTTTGCACGTACTTATCACCAAAAGATTGCGCAGGAACAGTGTGTTTTTGTAAAGCAAACTGGAAATAAACACCCTCTGTGTTTTCTTAAACTCTGTTACTAAGCCTATCAAGATGGTCACTAAGGTTTATGGAATATGTTCTATCAAGATCAGAGCTTAAAGTACAGATGACAAGCCTAAGAATCTGAATAGAAATGCACCTGTTGCTTTATGACAATGAGATTTACCAAACCATCTTTGCTGTAACTGTTGAGGTTCTTAGACTCACCAATACTTAAAAAAAAAAAAAAGAAATTTCAGTCTTACATCCCAAAGAGGGTTTTTTCTATGAGAAACAGCAAGTTTGGCTAACTTAAAAAAACCAAAAAAACCATAACATAATGGAAATAAACCTTTCTTTACAGATCTTCTTATTGGAGGAGAAGTTGAAACAGTATTGTAAAGTTCCATATAAAATTAAAGTTTATCCTGGACAAGTTCATGGTTTTGCACAACTGAAGCCAGAAGATATGAAACCTGATGATAAACCTTATATTGAAGAAGCTAGAAAGGATATGATCGATTGGATCAAAATGTTTGTTTGACAATAGCAGAAGGGATTGCTAGGCTTCAGATCAGTGACTGATTTAATTGAGAGAAGAAAACAGTCAAGGAAAAAAATACATTGAAAGTTGTCACAAACTAAAATAGGAACACTTTAACTTTTAGTTTTAAATTATTTTTTTTACAATATTTACAGAATATTGTGAAATCAAAGCTGGACTGAAGACTGATTAGGCATTAAAAATATGTTTGAATTTACTTTGCTTTCTATTTGTTTAATTATTTTGCATTATGACCTTGATAGTAATGATACTGTTTATCCATTTGTCTTTGATAGTGAACATGACTTGAGTAATTTCAATTTACTTGAGTAATTTCAGGCTTTGTTTTGGTATGATGATTGGTGGCCATAGGTGTTAACATGCAAGCACCCTGGTTTTGCATACACACATTTTCTTTTATTATCTACAAAACACTTGTCTCAGTTACACTGCTGTCCTGGGCAGAATTTCCCATGTGTGAAAAAAACACCTGGTTATGTTAAAAAGTTAGGAAGGAGTGATGATGTTAGGTGGCACTCTCCAGGTATTACCTCAGCAATATTAAGAAGTGTGCTTCTAGTATTTCTTCATGAATATCAAGGAAAAATATAACTAGTACCTAATCCTGTTGGGTCCCTTTCAACTCAGCCTATTCTATTCTGTGAACACTGCGGAAACAGTGGATTTGTTGTCCTAGTTTAAACTGTGGTGATCAGGCACAGGGCTGACAAACAGGTACCCCCACTCAGTCCTGATTATACCGCTTGCTTCATATTTTATCCCTTGTTCTTTGTCACCTTTACATCCTTCCAACTACATAATGCATAAACAAAAATAAGCAGCCCCATTTACTCTTACCACACTGGCTTCAGTTTTGTTGACCTGCTGCCCTTTTTTTTATCTTGGTAATGACTTGGCAGCTAGTGTTTACTCAGAGATTCTCTAAGGAACCCATGTCCGTTTTTTATTTTCTACAACAGCTTCACACTCTGTTGCCTTGTTCATTTTGCCGTAAGTTAAGGCTGGCTATCTACATTAATATTATTTCCCCTTTGGTATGGGACATGTCTGGCAGTTTCACACACTGCTATCTTATCAGTGTAACTATATGGTCACGGCATGGTGGTTGTCTACATACCTCAACAGACTGAGTATGTTAAATGGTCAAATCTTTGTTCATGAAGCCTTCACCTTCTGGGCAGCTGTGTCGATGGAGGCATGGCTGTGTCGATGGAGGCATGGCTGTGGACATGGTGACCGAGGATGCTCCATAGTCAGAGAGAACAAAACTTGAAATGCGAAATACAACTGCTGCGTTAGAGCCAAGGGAGATGCCGTTTGTGAGCACACGGGTATCTTGGTGCCTGGCTTTCTTGCTGGGGTGATGTGCATTTGCAAAGCTGTCAGCAGCAGCCCCATGCTCTTCAACTCAGTGTCCTGCTCCATGCACTGACCTGCTGAAATGAATTTCCTCTGACACCGAGAAGAATAAATGAAAAGTATGTGTGTTTTGGTTTAGGTACATTTTTTTAATACTTCCCTAGATGTGCTTTGCGACTCTAGACCAGGTTTCAGGCGGCGCCAGGGGGAAAATGCAGAAGTGCTACTGACCCATGACCACCACATTCTCACCTGCAGCCCTCCTGTCCCGCAGGAGGCCGGGGCCGCACCCCCAGCCCCCGCATGTACCGGGAGTGCGGGGCCGCTTTGGGTCCAGCGGGAGAGAGGCACATGTGGGCGGGCACCGACTGCTGCCGAGAGCTCTTCCCACCTCGGATACTGGCAGCCGCGGGGCCCGGCTTGACGAGAAAGATGCTGGGAAGTGGGAATGGGGCAAGGCTGGGCTGTGGGTCTGCCCCCACCTTTGCCCTCCGCGGTGGAGATGGAGACAGTAGTGTCGGCAGGGCGGAGGAAAAGGCGAGGAAGCAGCAGGAGCTGGGGGAAGCGCGGAGCTCTGAGGAGGGGAAGATGTTTCACAACCAAGCTCTGGAGTAACCCGCTGATAAAAGTAGCAGAACCTCCCTCTTTGGACCCTTTAGGGTGACTGAAGCTTTAAGTGGTGCAATCTTGTCCTGACCCACTGCGGGAGATTGGATAAGGTGACTTCCAGGGGTGCCTTCAACTTCAAACGTCCTCTAATTTCCAAAATCCCCATGCAGACCTGGCAGGGTGCTTTCTGTACAAGTCTCCATTAGCCCATATTCCCAGATGGCTGTACCAGGTCACTAGCTGTATCTTGTTCAGCCAAATGTCCAGGTCCCAATCCCACAACATTCCCACACAGGCCAAGGAGAACTTCAGGCCCTTAGCATGATTCCTCAGCCTACATGACCTAAGAAAAATCATCCAAGTATCATGCATTGTGAAAGCAGCATCATACATGATGTTATTTTTGTAGGAGACAAGGGGTGAGCATGTAATTATGAAAATAGAAATTCAAAGGAGCTGTGAAAGCAATTGTCTGCCTTAGGTTGTCCTGCATTTTTGCAGTGAAAAATGGCAGTTGCGTAATTGATGTTAAAACCTGTTTGAAGTGGACTAGAAACACACACTGCATGTGTGACAGCTTTTTCCTGTCTGTTTTCCTAAACACTACACAGGTTCTTAAAAATAAGTGTTCAGTGGGAAGCCTCGTTAGGTGAACCTAAGGAGCCAGGTTGTAGGTGTGGGATAGTATGTGTGGGATGCAGCTGCAGGTTGTGTAAACAGCTTTTATAGAAGAGATGTGAAAGCCTGCCTGCACTCTCCTCCAAATGTACTCAGGCCTTGGTCATTAGGGCTGGCACAGGGTGACTCCAGCATTTCTGGTCATCCAGGCTCTCCTGCTGCTCACAGCATGTGACCATGTGTGCCATTGCTTCTGGAACCCCTGATAAATTGTTCCTGGTCTGGGTTGGTTGACTGTGGTGGACACCTTGACCTCATCTCAGGTCACCCCGCTCTGCCCTCATTCCTGCTCTTCAGTGTGCAGGTAAGGGGTTTGCAGGAAGTGCATGAAACTTCCCTCCAGGTTTTTAAAACCTGCACTGAGGCAGGATTCCTCACACCTTCAGAAATGGGAGGATGGTTTGCCTTGAGAGAAGGAAATGAGGCGGATTTTTAACATAACCCCTGACTTCTCAGTCCCAGACATAACTAGTTTAGGCGAGATTCTAGTACAGCTGGCTATCACAGCTACTCTTTCAGCACTGCATAAACAGCACCGTGGTCAACAGCTTCACAGCCAGACCATACTCGCTCCAGGAAGTGTCCACAAGATGGGGCCCCTTTCCTTGATTGAAACGAAGACTTTTAGGGATTTTGGCTCTAATTACAGTAATCAACACTCTGAATAGTTCCTGTCATATCCTGCAGTAAAGGTTCTCCAGTGTCAAAAGAAACCTGGCTTCCTAGTAAGTGTGAAGTTGTAGCAAGCAAAGCTCCCACACACACACCCAGTGCTGTCTCTGCAAGTATCAAGGCACCAGCTTGCTGGGTTGTGATTAAAGGTGAAGGAGTCTTACAGTCCTTAGGAGTCTGTAGTTATTCAGAGAAAACACTGGTTGTCATATAGCATTGCCACATCCTGCATTTTATGTGGCTCTACTGAATATTTATCAGTTTATCTCCTGTACAGAGTAAAATCAGATTGCCTTAAAATATCATTAGAACTTGACAAGATAATGAGATGGAAGAAGCATGATATGAATTTTACCCCAAAGGTATTCTGTTTATGGTTGCTCATTGTAAGATCTTTTTTTCTCATATAAACAAGTATAAATACAGTTATATTAAGTAGTTTAATGGAATTTTCATAATGGCAAACAGTATTGGTTCCAAAATTCTAAGTTAATTACTTTGCAATTCTCTGTTAAAATTGATTGGCAAAATAGTGCAAAACCACTTCAAAATTACTCAGAAAACTAAAACTCGGTTGAGAGAGGAAGTCCAAATATTTATCAATGAATAGGTAGTGTTCAACAACTAGTAAATAGCAACTAGTATTTCTGAACTTCTGCCATCACCAGTGCTCACTAGAGGTAGGAGAATCTACTATAGTATGGAGTACTGTGGAGACTGTTTTTTCCAGTTTTGTGTCTGACACATCTATGATTGAGGATCAGAGCTTTCTGGAAGAGAAAATGGGAAGCTGCCACCTTGAAGACATGCCGTAGAAGGAACTGGACAAGGGTTGATGAGCAGAGGGAAAAATGAATAAAAGGATGAAGGAGAAAGCACAGAAGTGTTTCAAACTTAGAGCTGTTTTGAATCTTGTGACCTATTTCCGTGTTTATCCTGTTGCCCCAGGCTCACCACTGTGGGTGAGAGAACAGCACAGATGCTGTTGTGCTGTGGCGGCAGTGTTAGAAGTCCACAGATCAGACTCTGCCTAAACTGGGTCTTACCCAAATTGTTTTGCCATTTGGTTGTATTTTATAGAGAGGGTTTGTGTGATAGACTAAGTCTTGAAACTGTTTTTAATACCATTTACTGTGTTACAATGTAGCAGAGAAATTGAAGAGGGGAGAGAGTGGTGGAAGTGTATTAAAGGTTTTATTTGACATCTATTTGAATTAGTTAGACTATCTAGAAGGGGATGAATGGTTAAAATATATTCCTAACAAAAAACAGTTAAGCATTGAAGAGTGAATTCGATTTTTACTGCCAGCATCCTGCATTTCACTTTAGTGAGGGGACCAGACAGACTAAGGAATATTATTCCACTGTGTACACTTACATGGGAAAAGAGACTAGTTCATGTTAATAAGCAAGCAGTTCCATTTTCATCAGTTGAGAGTGGTAGCAGAGCAAGGCTAAACAGCTTCTCAGACTAGGGTAGAAAAGATGCTTTACCATCTACTGCCTATGGAAGGGAAAGAGAAGTTATTAGTTCGGTTTAGAAACGTGCTACAGTGGCCTGTCTCCTGTTGAAAGGAACAAGAAATTTTACTAAACTTGAGGGATTCTTGTGAGAAGACCTCTTAGGTCATAAACCCTTTAGAAAACTTCCTTCACTTGAGAAGAAATGCAGTACTTTCCAGTTTTTCAGTTAAAATGTATGCCAGTATCTGTGATGTGTGAGGGTGTGTTATATGCACAACAGCGGTGTATCTCTTTACTCTTCTAACCATTCTCAGTTCAGATTACATAGTATGTAACTTGCACGGAAACTTTCTGCTGATTTACCTTCTTTGAGTTGGTTTATTAGAACTTTTAGAGATTCCTATTAATGATGGGCTCCCTGGGAAAGGATTATACATAGCAGGGGATACAAAGGACCAGCAAAGTGTATGTAGGCAGCACAGCTTTGGATTCCCCAAGGAGGAAGGGAAAGGGGACATACAGAAAGAAAACGTTAGGGGAACGGTAGTCAGAAAAGCATCATGCTGACAGTGGGATCCCCAAGTGAAACAGCAAGAGGTTAGGAGATATCTGCCTATGAGGAGGAACTGTGAGACCACATGAGAGGAATGATTATGAAACACAGTGTGAGGGGACTCACGTGGAAATGTAGTTATCACATGCTGGATTGCTCCAGGCACATAGCTAGAAATGGTGGACTGACATAAGCCCTTTTTCTGGCCTTTCCACACTCATGGGTTGTGCTGACTAACCTGAAAGTCATGAATACTTTTGGAATGAATGTGTCAACAGCCTATTTGAATGTGTCAACAGCCTATTTACAATAAACACTCAGAGTTTCAACCTTGCACTACCAAGTGGGTGTTGTTAGGTGTCTGGAGGGGACTGGGGGGACTGAATGAAGATAATGATTCATAACCACCATTGTTATTGCAAATAACTGGTTTTCATTTTTGCTTTCCTGCAGATTCCTAGATGGCTAATGATGGCCCACGTGATATTGGAGACAGGTTTGACTATGAGGGTTGTGGGCAGGAAGTACAAGTTGAGCACATCAAGGCTTATGTTTGCAAACCACCTGCCAGCACTGGCAAAGCCCTGATTGTGATTCCTGATATACTTGGATGGCAACTCCCAAACACCAGATACATGGCTGATATGCTAACAACTAATGGATACATGAAAGAAATCTTTTCTTCTCCAAGAAATCTCACTCTTTATGGTTTCTAGCCTTACATTAGAAATGTTATTCTCATACAGGAGAGGAAACTATTGCAAGAGCAGTTTGAACAATGTCTTTCCATAATACAAAACCAAAAAGGAACATTGCTGTGGAATGTTGCAGAGTACAGCATGCTGCTCTCACTCTCTGCTGGTTACAGAAGTGACTGCACATGCAGTAAGTGTAGAATACACAATGCAGTAAAAAGTGATTCTGATAATTTTCCTAGCAATGTGAGATGGCTTTTAAAAATAGTATGTTCTGAAACAGAAGTGTTTATTGCATTTTAGTCTTTTTAAAATAAACATTTATTCAAGCTGAATTATATTATGGGATTTAAAAAGATTGTAATCAGCAGAAATACATATGGGGTATTAAATACAATCTCCTTCTCCCCCGACAAATATTTCACATTCATTTTTGATGCCCTGCAACAGTTAAGTTCCAAAATGCAGCAACATCTTGCAATAAGTGGATATATTGCAAGGTACTCCATTTGCTTTATACTT